AAAAAAAAAATAATTATGAAACATAAAATTCATGAATAGATTATTACTAAAGATAATTAAAATAATAGTTAGGTATCAATTTTCTTTCTCAGGACTAGCCTCATAAATCATCAGTTTCATTGCATTCCTCATTATAGAAGAAACAATTATGGAATATAAAATTCTTGAATAGATTGTTTATGTGAAAGCTAACAAAAATAATGGTTAAATACTAATTCTTCTTTTCATAAGAATAGCGTCATAAATCATCAGTTTCATTTTATTTTTCTTTATAAAAAAGATAGTCAGCAGACACTCAATGAAAATGATTTTCAATCGAATTTTTCTGCAACAACATCAAAATTAAAACCGATTGATAATTTTGATTATCGTTGATCACGGCTTAACTATTACTTGATATTATTACTTATTCAGTGTGAAATTTTCTCATTAAAATTGGATGATTTTGTAGTGAATTCAAGGTTATCATTCGATTAATAATTTGGATTTTTCTGTAGAATAATCTGATTTCAATCAGAAAGCTTCACATGGAATAAACAACAATGTCAAGTAATATCTCAGTCGTGATCAGAAATAATCAAAATTATCAATCGATTTTAATTTTGATTTTGTTGCAGAAAAATCCGATTGGAATTGAAAATCGCAAAAATTATTCACTGGACAGCTGATACGATACGATCTTAATTAGTAGAGATCATGTGATTAGTATTCAATTCACGAATAGTTTTTTATATAAAGACGAAATTTTTTTGTGTATAATCGGATTAAAAGAATACAGTGACAAAAATTTCTTATCAGTAAAGGGTTCTATCCGATAGTTGAACCTCGAACATATATTGTATTTGCTATATTTGGGAAAAAAATTATTGATCCATTCTTTGATGAAAAAATCAAGTTATCTATCGAAATTTCTGAGTGAAAATAATAATTAAAAATCTTTTCGAAATAAAAAATGTAGCTAAAATTATGCGCCTAATAAAAAAATCAATTTTGCCTAAGTTTAATTTTGCCTAAAGTTTAATTTTGCCTGTGACATATATTTATTACTCTATCTCAGGGTATTGAGGAGAATCATGTGGTATCATCAGAAGAATGAATGATAAAAAACAATAGAAACTACACGTACTAATACTAGAATGTGAAGAAATAATAAAAGAAAAAACAAACACGTTCGAAAATATCCATTCTTTCTTTTTTTCTTCTCACATATTTTAGTATTAGTATGTGCATGTTCGTATTCTTGATCATTCGTTTTTTCTGATGATGTCACGTAACGTTTGTTGAAAGTTTGAGATAGGGTAATGAGTGCATAAATACAATGTAAAAGTATTTTATTTTAGTTTAACACTAATTAACAGAGAACAGTTGAAAAATACATGAATGTCCAGGTGATATAACAAAAATCGTTTATGAATTTCCTACGGATTCGCGACTAAATAGCCGCATAGAAACAAAGCAGAGAAGAAGAGAATACAAAGTTGAATTATTCTATATAATTTCGATATAATTAGGTTATATCCCGATGGACTGTCTTTTCCTCTTGCTGTGGTATAAATATAGATATTAATAGACATAAAAGCACCGTTACTCGACTATTTCAGTTAATTTCTAGCTTGATTCAAAATGATTCCCACTTTATACACATTTTCAAATGACTAAAAGCAACACTCAATGCTTTTTTAGCAACATCCGTGCCCAACGTAATTTTTAGTATGTTCTATATATACGCTCAGTTCTTATTTGAATATAGGTTCAATGCCATGGTTGATATACCTCCTGGCCAAAATAAATGACCCATCTGTTTTTACAATTATCATTTTCTGCGTGGTTGAATTGGTCTCATCTTTATATCATAGATGCATCTTTGATTACTTGACTTACCCTAAAATTTTCAGCTGTATACCATGAATCTTCCCTAAGGAAATAAAAAATATATATCATGCACTCATCTAGCAGTGAATCCATAATTAGTTGTTTTACTGATTTTTTTATTATTTCAAATTTTATTTGGAGTTCAAGGTAATAGTTAGTTAGCTTTGATATATGGCTATACCAGAAGACATCGTTAATCAGCTTCACATATCTTGTAGTCAGTTATACGCTGTAATTCTATTAAACGACTGCATCGATATGAATAATATTTCTTCTTTACAATTCATGATAAAAATTAAAACAGAACCTGGTCTATCAAATAAAACTGTTCACGAAAAAATTCTTTGTCATCAATAAAAGAGCGACTGAAGTGCAATATAAAGAACAAGAATTTAGGTCCACATATTTTTCCATTGAACGATAGTCTTTATTGATTATTTACCAACAAATGAAGTCTATTAGTTGACGCAGTGATTTGATAGAATTACAACGTTTAATTGACTACACGATATGTAAAGCTGACCACAGATGTTTCCCAGTATGACCATGTATCAATACTATCTATATCTAATTCATACTCAAGAAACAAGAAGCAAAATATATTTGTATGATTTGTTCAATTATATATTGATAAGTGCTCAATAGTGATCAATTCAATGATCGCTCGAATTTACCACGAGCCATCAGTTATTATATTTTTTTTT